TAATTTTTAGGCAGTTTTGCATACAAGGAAAGAGGTCTAGGCAGCTGGAAGTTCTGGCATTGGACATAAAAAACACCGAAGCCAGGATGTGTGTGAAAACACCTACAATGGCATTCAAGGGCATCTGGGTGTTGCATTGACTTTACTGGCTCTGCACAAGGTGGCTTTTCGTTTCATTTCATCCTTTCACAATCTAGTCCCTGCCACATCTCTGTGGGTCGGGTCACTAATAGAGCCTCGCATTTCCTCCTTGATTTGCTTCTGCTGAAACTTTCTGCTGTGCAAGTTAGCCTTACGTGAGTAGCTTTGGTGAGACAAGGATGCCCTCCAGTGGTTAGTTTGAGATCTGGCATCCAGAGAGACATTTCTGGACTAGAATCAACAACCCAGGGTGTGAGCAGTTCTCACCAGCGTTTGGGATTGTCACCGTCCGGGCTGCCTTCTCAGAAGTACTCTCCATACTCCCCCTCCCTCCCAGCACACGAATTTAAAATCTTCTTGACACATGGTGTAGATATGGATATTCATATGCCTTTATTGCTAACCTTATAGCAAATTTGATTGATTTTGAAAAGTCACATATTAGGGGAAGCTGACATTTCAGTTTCAAGCCTATTTGCATTTTGTTTTGATATGGAGCCCTGCAGAGTTCGTAGATAGTTTTAGTCGATTTAATCCATTTATTGAAAAGCAGCAATAGCACCTTGAGCTCAGAGAGTAGAAACTTCCTAGAAAACAATTGACACAGCCTGTAGTTCCCTCCAGGGGCACCACAGGGTGGCTGGAAGGCACAGAACCTGGTGTCTCAAGTCATTCACTCTGGGAACAGGGATTTGAAGCCAGATAACGTGGTGGTCCACAACACCCTGCCAGAGTGTGATGAAACGAACAAATCTGGGTTTCTACCTCATCTAACAGGCGGTTCTCTACTCAGGGCTATTTCGACCCCTCATTCCTCCCCTCTACCCCTTCCCCTAGCTACATTTGGTGATGTCCAGAGACATTTTTGCTGGTTCCGACTGAAGGAGGTCACTACTGGCATCTAGTGGGTAAAGGCCAGGGTTGCTGCTAAATATCCTACTAGCACAATACGGCTCCTCACAAAGAATAATCAAGACCCAAATGACAATGTGCCAAGGTTGAGAAACTCTACTCAAGAGATGATATTAATCAATAGGTGATTTTTGAAAGAATGATGAATGCTGGAAGGCTAAGCAATTATCTGGGTGTGCATTTGTTTTCTAGGTCCATTCTGGGGCATATTTGCTCAGCAGCAAGCCATTGGGTAGAGCTGGTACCTGAAAAATAGGTTTCTGCAGGCTTCTCCTTGCACACAACTCATCACACTGGCCAGAGCTGTCAATACAGATGGAAGCTTCATACTGCTTGTTGCAAATGAACACTGGCGATTCCCTTTTTCTGTGATTTTAAACACGTTCCTTTTGCTTCATGCTCGGGTTGTGCACATGCCGGCTCCTGATTTGACATTTCACCAAATGCCCTTCATGTGCTCCAGCAAGGCTCCTGGTGTGAAGGGCTGACATACGATGGGGTCTGAAGGCTTATTTGCATTTCTTCTTGGGTCTGTTTTCCGGCTCCTCTAGGAAATTGCTTAATTGCTTTTCAAACAGCTATCATGTCCTCCTAGCTTTATAGCTTCTTTCCAAAGATGATTGCAACATCTTATTGTTTTTCAAATAAAAATAGTGCTTCCTTACTCCTCTGTAATGTATACACTGTCAGTTTCAATAGCACCAGCTGTCTCTCCCCAACATGGATCTCTTTTTTCCTTTATTTCCCCTCCTTTGCTATTGTCATCCTGTTTAACCTTTCTCAGAAGAGCTTCCTAGGCACACAATTATATTTATAGAGTCTCTGTGCATTTGTAGATATAATTAAAATTTAAACACTGCACATTTAGCCTAATGTTGACACTATTCATTTTGTGGAGAAAAATTTATTTAAACATTAATAACTAGATGCGTGAAGTACTTTTCAGTGCATCAATTCTAAGACAGGGAGAAAGATATCATGCAGCTCTCATCTATTAGAATTGTGAGTTTGTTTGCAATACATATCTAATTGTAGATCTAAAGCCTCATTTGAAATGTGTTACTCGATCTCATATTCCAAGCATCTGTGAACATGGATTTTGAATGAAACCTAAACTTAATCCCTGTTCTAGGCCAGCTCGTCATTGTTTTTGAGTTTGAATAGGGCTTGCATGACATTTTTTTGGTGTTGCTATCAAATTTAAGTTTGCAATAAAGAAAATATTCCCCACCTTTCTCCCAAAAACCTCCCTCCTGCATATGACATATTACTGGATATTTCAAAATAGACGATCTGAACTAGGAAAGTAAAAGATGGCGAAAATACATACCAGGGGCTGGAAGTCACGTTTGATCTCCCCAAACCCTGTACTCTGTGCCTTCTCTGCTTCTGAGACCTGTCCAGGAAAGGAAATTCACAAGGTGAAAGAACCCAGTGGGCTGCAAACTATCACCTTAATTAACCATTAGGTAAGAACCCAAAGATGCCAGCATCTCCCATAAAAGGGCTTCTGTGGCATAGGCTGGACTTGATGATGGGGCTCAGCCTGGGAAGTAGACGTGAGATTTTCTACTTGCTGCTTTCCTAACTCTGAGTCATCTGGTCTGTAAAACAGTATTCAAGTAGCCATTTAGATCAATGGCTGATGCTGTCAACTACAGATGCAGAAGTTTAAGCAATAGAGAGTAAGAAGATTAGGTGCTACTGATACCTGGTCCACACCTCCTGCATCTCTTTGTCGGATGATATTTATGGTAATCGGAGTTTTCTCTACTCTTTCATGGCAGTTTGGAAGTGCAGGTAATTAACACCCCCTGGGAGAGCCCTTAAACAATGACTGACAGGGGGTGGTGGATAATAATAGATCAGCTTGCTCCACCCTGTGAGGGGACATCTCTTAGGTGTGCAGTCTCCACTGTCTCTCAGAAGTCTGAAGTGAATTGACCTTCAGGGACTCACAGAGGTGGCTCTCCCGATAACATACCCACCCTTTGTGGCTTTTTTTTCTCTTCCCTGCCCCACTTTCCCACTCTCCTACTAGATTTTTGGAATCACCTCCCAAATGAATTCTTTGTACTCAGATCCTTATTTTACGGTCTGCTTCTTGGGGAAGCCTGAACTATGACCAAATACATGACGAATTCTGTCCTTAATAGGCAGATCCTGTCCAAAGCTGCTGAAAGCGTGGAGCATGGGAAGGACCTGGGAAGAACACCTGGCGCTCAAAGGCACAGGGAGTGAAAGAAAACTTGTCAACATAGCTACATGCCCTCTTGGCCCAGCTGTGTCCACCTGCTGTGGTTTAGATGTTTGTTCCCACAAAAACCATGTTGAAATGTGATCCCTAGTATGGGGCTTAAAGGGAGGTTTTAGGTCGTAGGGGCAAGTCCTACATGAATAGATTAAGCCCCTCCTTTGGCTGGGAGAGTGAGTGAGTTCTCACTCCATCAGTTTCTGAGAGAGCTTGGTGATGAAAAGAGCCTGGCACCTCCCTCTTCCTCTTTCTTTCTCTCTCACTGTGTGATCTCCCTGCACACAGTGACCCCCATGCACCTTCTGCCATGAGTAGAAGCAGCCTGAGATGCACACACCCAACCTTGAACTTTCCAGTCATCAGATTTATGAGCCAAACAAACCCTTCTCCTTGATAAGCTACCTAGCCTCAAGTATTCCTTTACAGGAATGCAAACAGAGTGGGACACTACCCACTAATAGAACTTGGCCCACGAGGTTCTCAGATTTTGACCAATGGAATTTCCAATTCCTTCTTCACTGGGGAAGTGACAGTGGAATGCACAGTCACCAAAGAATTGAACATTTTTTTTTTCAGGTTCCCATTTCACATGACACACTGGAAATAAAAGAACAAAGCTGAAACAAATGTTTCTCCTCCCTCTAGTTCAGGTTATTCCCAGGCTACCTCTACTTCAGAGTAGCAGACACCTTAGGATGCCCTCGGTCAGAACTCTCTGAAAGCTTATATCCCTGCAGGAAGAAGAAATGCTATTTGTCTCTATTTCATATTCAACGTTCCTTACCATTCCCAGCCACCTGTCACTTTCACATTCACCAAGCTAGGACTGACTATTCAAACAAGACAGTTCTTTAATGCCTCCACTTTCTGGTAGGAACACGACTCAGAGCTATGAAAACCTTGTAGTACAGCCTTTTGGGTGCATTTTATTAAAAGGTAAGATTATGCTTAAAGCAAAGGTTAGGCAAACATTTGCTTAATGCCTTAGAACTCAACAGAGAGGGAACATTTTCTCAAGTCAGGAAGCTGAATAAAATGCCTGCTAGGTTAAGAAAGGTCTTTACTTAAAGGTCAAGCCAAACTATAATGAGAAAGAAAAATAGTTTAAAACAGGTTTCTTTTTTTTTTTTTTTNGCTTTTGCCATGTTGGCTGGGCTGGTCTCAAACTCCTGGCCTCAAGTGATCTGCCCACCATCGCCTCCCAAAGTGCCGGGATTTCAGGCATGGACCAGTGTGCCCGGCCAATCCTAGTTTCTTTTCTACATGACAACACTTTTTGCCTTGAGATGAAGTCTCACTCTTTCACCTTGGCTGGAGTGCAGTAGCACAATTTTGGCTCACTACAACCTCTGCCTCCTGGGTTCAAACGATTCTCCTGCCTCAGCCTCCTGAGTAGCTGGGACTACAGGTGTACACCACCACACCTGGCTAATTTTTGTATTTTTAGTAGAGATAGGGTTTCACCACGTTGGCCAGGCTACTAGTCTCAAACTCCTGACCTCAGGTGATCCACCTGCCTCGGCCTTCCAAAGTGCTGGGATTACAGGCGTGAGCCACTGCACCGGGCCAACAACACTATTTTTATACTGCTTTAAAAAAGTTTTATGAATCAAATGTTACTCTAGTTTATTCTTGATTTATTATGTGGAGAGATGAGTTGGTAGGGGCATCTGTCAGGGAGTTAAATAATATGGAAAGTATGTTAACCTAGAACCATCTAGCTTGATGTCCTGTTTTTTGAATGCTGCTCCTTTCATGGGTGTGGTGGGACTGGTGTTGCTTCTCCTTCTCCCATCTCAACTCTCTGAGATTGTCAATGGCTATGTCTCTCTTTAGCTTACCATTACATTGCCCAAATTTTAATTGAACCCAAGTGCTGTCTCTTATGTGAATGTTTAGAAAGCTACTCCGGGAGGATCAATTGGAGCCTGTTACCAAAGCAGCACAGCAAGAAGAGTTGGAAAGAAGGAAGCGCCTGGAGCAGCAGAGGAAAGATTATGCAGCCCCTATTCCTACTGTCCCGCTGGAGTTCCTCCCTGGTAAGCAGTGGACATGGCAGGGAAGGCCCTGTGCTTCAGGCCCTCCTGAAGCAGGAAGAATCCCAAGGTGTACACAGTGTTCAAAAACAGATCTGGAATAAGACTGTGGCCTCTCAGGAAGCCTTTAAAGTCATTCAGCTTCTTCAGAGCACACAATCAGAAGATTATTTAAAGAGTTAAAATGAATAAAAATGTACTCTTTAAATAGATTCAGATTTTTTTCTCATAACTGTGATTTTAACTTGCCAAGTGATTGGGACCTTTTCTAGTGGTCAGGTGAATAGCAGGAAGTAAAAACCAGTAGAGAAAGGGAATTTGGAAGGAGGGCTGAGGTTTCTGAGAATGCGCTCTGCTTCTCTTCTCAGTGGATACTCCCCATGAGACCTAGAAGAGAAAAGGGGCGGTAAATTGTTTTGGGAAAAATATTAGAGCTAAATGTGGTCTTGATGTCATTCTCTTTCATTTTGCATTTCTAGAGGAAATTGCTTTACGAGCAAGTGATGGTCACCAACTGCCTCCTCGGGTCTTGGCCCAGGAAGTCATTTGTTTGGACAGTAGCAGCGGCAGTGAGGATGAAAAAAGCAGTCGAGATGGTAAGATCAAGCCAGAGGTACCTCCCTTTTTCCTGACCTGGTGTTCATCCTGAGATTGGCTGTACTTTGAAGAGTCCAGTCCTTCCTCATTCAGTTTGGGGTGTGGCTTTGACAAATTTCCCTGTTTCTCCTTGATAAATATAAGTTTTTTGCTTGTCTCAACTTGAAGCTGGAAGAGAGAAATAGTAAAAATCAAAATTTTAATAAGTGATGACAAGTTCTGACTTTAAGCTTCTATAGTCTTCTCATCTGACCGGGTGCAATTAATTATCTTTACTCCCTAGATATTTGGTTTTACTTTTGTTTTGCTGTCTCAGAGGTGATTGAACTGAGCTCTGGAGAGGAGGACACTCTGCACATTGTAGACAGCAGTGAGTCTGTTAGTGAAGAGGATGAGGAAGAAGAGAAGGGTGGCACCCACGTCAATGATGTCTTAAACCAGCGTGACACCCTTGGGCGGGTCCTTGTCAACTTAAACCACCCTCCAGAGGAGGAAAATGTCTTCCTTGCCCCACAGTTGGCACGGGCTGTGAAACCTCATCAGGTACAGCAAACCTTGATTCTTTTCTCTTCTTCCTTTCTGTTTCCTTGCTGTGAACATTACCTGTTGGTGGTTATTAGTGTCATAGCCCATGAAATACTTGTTTGGTACCAAGAGCAGCTTGTTCAGCTATTGGAAAGACCTCATAGTTCCTTCTAGCAGTTGATGCTCTGGGATACCTGATGAATAGGAAGGGATGGGGAAAGGGAAGAAACAAGCCTTAGGTTTGCCCTACCCCATAGAAAGCACTGGGTCTCTTGACCTAATAATTTGAGTCTCTTTCTGTGGGATTCCATGACTGAGGTGCTCTCTGGAAAGCAGCAGTTTGATTAGGAAGGTCTGGATCTAGAAGAGATGTGAGAGTCAGAAGATGGAGGGACTTTCTGATAGGAGGGAACAGGGTAGTTTGTGTTGATCCAGAGCCTGGAGCCAGGATAAGTGAGTAAAAGTTCCATGAAGACAGACATTGACTCAGCTTAAGAACGCTTTTTTTTTTTTTTTTTTTAAGGGAGACTGGTGGTTCTAAGTGGAGATTTGCTTCTTCTTTCAAAGTTTCAAAAATTCATATGTCAGTTTTGAAACACAATTATTCTTAAAAACAAATGTATAATTGAAGAAGTGCCACTAAACTGGCCCTCAGTGCAGCCTCCAATTTAAACAGGAGGCAAGTTCTCAAGCATCTGGAGGCACCAGCTGCCCTCCTTCCCAGCAAGACCTAACCAGCTCCTTCGCAGCACCTGGCTTCTCCAGGCAGCTCCATGTTCCAGATGGCCAGGCTGTGCCCTCTTTGCTGCCATTTCACCCTTTCCATCAGATCCCATTTCCCAAGGGCACAACTGGGTTGGGAAATGCAGCGGCAACTCTTCAACTTGTTCCAGGGCCTGAAATGCTACATTTCACAGATGCAGCTGCGGAAGGAGACCCTTAATCCTCTTCAGCCTTCTGCACTGCATCTCAAGAGGAGAAGTTAGAAAGAGGAAGGACCGGTTGGTGCCCCCGGCCAGGTTAAGGATAAGACCCCTACCGCTAACCACAATCCCATCTGTAGATCATGGACATGGTATAGAGGAATCTTTCCGGAAGGCATTGTTTTTACCTAAACACGATCACAGCCCCACCTAAGTCATGTACCCCATGCCTACTTAATGAATCAAGACCCTTTCACATGTAATTTCTAGAGTTGTAAACCTTTAAAAGGGCAAGGATTTTCTTTGTTGGGGAGCTTGGTTGTTAGGCATCTACAGCACCACAGCTCCCAGCCAAATAAATCACCACTTCTTTCCCAGTTTGGTGTTTGATAGGTTTGTTTGCGGCCTTTCCTGCTTTTCTGGAAAGCTAGCACAGTGGCTTTCTGCCAGAGAGGGGAATTGTGGGGCTGGCAGGGAGCTGGGTACAACACCCAGGTCTGGGAACTTCTCAATTTTCTGGAAGCCCCACATGTAGGACGCCACCAAGGTTTCAAGCAGGTACCAGGTAATACATAGCTGTTTCATGGCCAAATGAATGAAGAGTTGGGGATGCTCTGTTTTTTTTTTTTTTTCCCCAAGCTCTTAACCATGCTTTCTAAATTCCAGCACATTTTCTCATCCAAATCTGATTTAATCAAACCCTCTCAGAAACTTTTTTGGACTTGTTATATTGTGTAAAAGTGACACTCTGAATACCTGGATTTGATAGATGGTGTTGCCTCTGTGAGATGTATGGAAGGCAGATCAATTCTTCTAGATACATGGGTACTAGTTGTACCCATATATTTTGAAATATTGCTTTGCTAGTTTCCCTGAAGCCCCAAAGAGTGTTCCTTCCCTTCCACACCTACCTCATAAGCTCCTCACCTGGTATCACCGGGACCTCAAACAGTTACAGGGTGAATGCCAGAAGAGTATCTGTACTCCAGGACTCTGCTCCATTCTGATGGGCTGATGCCTGCTCTCCCTCTGTTGTAATAATTCAGTGAAACTGCACTTCCTTCTCTCTGGGATCTGGTTCTTCAAGACCTCACTGCTTTGGTAGCTTTCTGAAAGTACAAACATATTCATGTATTTTGTGCAGCTTTTCTGTTTTCTTCTCAGTGAGAGAGTTGGTAAGTCATAAGCCAGTCTATCACCAGTAGCAGCAGGAACCATCAGTGTATTATGTGAGACAGATGTGTCCCTATGGGTTAAGAGTTTGACGGTTTGCAGCCAAATGAATTCTTAACTGATAAGCTTGTGATGGCCAGGACTGTGCTATGTGGGGATCTATGCTGCACTGATGTGTGTAATGACTTGGGCGTGAGGTCTAAAGGAAGGAGACCGGGGAGGCAGCCTTGATCAGAGAAGAGAACTATATCAAGCAGACTCTGGAACAAAGTAAATACATAGGGTAATCAGAGAATGAGAATTTGGATTTCTTCATTTTGAAACAAAAGGTGAAGAGATCCATAAAGTGTACTAACAGAGTAAAAGAGTTATTAGAAAAGTTTGGAAAGTGCTCAATGGTAATATTTCTAATTTCATAACTTGCTGAAACCCAAGAGGAAGTCATTTTGTTTTAGCTTTGCCATTAAGCACAAAGCCAAAACTTTTGGCACACGATTTATAGCACTCGGAGTGCTGCAGATTTTATTAAAAAGTACTAAATAAAGCCTGACACCTCTCAAGGTGTCCCACAGCCTGTGATATGGAGAGATCAGGGGCGTTTTCCAAGGTCAGACATTAGGCATGGATATAAGTGGATTAAAGGAGACACACAGTTAAAATGCTCATGCATGCACACATACACACAGGCAGGTTGTGGGAATAACCTGTCGAAATCTCATGCCTTCTGTGACACACTGAATTTTCCAAAGATGACTCCATCAGTATGTCCCATTCCCCATGTTCCTTCCCTTGGCACTGGGTGGCCCTGTGACTACAGAGAACAGGATGCTGTGTGACTTCTAAGGATAAGTCCTAGGAGCCATACAACTTTCAATGGCCCTCTTGGAACTCTTCACCTTGGATCCTGCCACCAGCCACGTGGAAAGGCCACTGTAGGCTGTTCTGGCCCCAGGTCTTATCTGAGGTCCCAGATGACAGCCCACATTGACCACCCATCATCTGCAGTGCCATGTGAGCGAGTGAGACTTTAGAAGACCCCTGCCCCAGTCTTTGAGCATGTCCTGTGGAGCTGAGATGACCTGTCGCCATTGAGAAACTCCATTTTCAGATTCATAGGGAAAATAAATGTTTTAAACCACTGAGCTTAGAAGTGGTTTTTCATGCAGCAACAGCTAACTCCTTTTCCCTGTATCTGAGTGTAATGCTTACAAGAGTTGCTCAGATATTGCTTAAGACAGAGAAAGAACCTAGAGAGACTTACGGTATACCAGAAACATTAGCTGATCCAACAGACATGAGAGGCAAAGCTCTGGCTTAATAAAGCCTCTATCTAGATCTGGCACGAGGTCTTTCCTTGTGGAGATGATTGGCAGAAATATAAAGGCAGTTCTAGCCCCAATCTTTAAATGGTACTGGTTTTAAGCCCTGTTGGTGGCTTTTTTGAGAAAAACAATTAAAAGTCAAAAGGTATTTTACAGACCACCAATTGAATCCCCAAATTTGTTTTCTTCTTCTTCCTTTAGTAGTAGTAAGTTCCTGAATTTTAGCAGTGCACAGACCACTCAGAATCAAGACTCCTATTTCAGGTGCTTGTGATGCTTCATGCTGCTGCCCTGCGGTCTGTGTAACCTCATGGCAGCCCTTGACGACAGGTTCAGCCATCAAGCACACATAGAGTCTCTCTATCCTTTCTTCTCTGAAGCTGTGGAAGGACAAGTGTGGGCATGATCTGGACATGCAGGGACAACTGCCCTTGGCCAATGGGGGATGGAAGTGGGTGGACAGAGGCTGCCACCTCCCCTTCCTTGGATGAGCTAATTCTGAGATGTGTTCTGTAAGGTTCCCCAAATGCCTCCTGTAGGACTGACCCCAGATATATATATATATATATATATATATATGTGAATATAGTATACTTGTTGTATACTATCTACATATATGAACATAGTAATCTTGTTGTGGGTGCGAAGTGAGGAAACATATGTAAAGCAATGAGAAAAATGCCTGATAGATTGTAATAGTCTGTTTTGTGTTATTATAATAGAATACTTAAGTCTGAGTAATTTATAAGGATAGGAGATTTATTTAGTTTATGATTCTGTAGGCTGGGAAGTTCAAGATTGGGCAGCTGCCTCTGCTGAGGGCCTCAGGATGCTTCTACTCATGGCAGAAAGTGGAAGGGCAGTGGGCATGTGCAAAGAGATCACACAGTGAGAGAGAAAGCAGGAGAGACAAACCAAGGAAGCCAGACTCTTTTTTAACAATCTCCTCTTTCAGGAACAAACTAATTCTTATGAGAACCAGAACCCACTTACCCCTGCAGAAGGGCATTACTCTATTGATGAGGGATCCACCTCCCACTAGGTCCCACCTTTCAACACTGCCACTTTGGGATCAAATTTCAACATGAGTTTTGTTAGGGACAAGCCACATCCAAACCATAGCATAATGTTAAATCATAAAAATGCTATTTTGTATATATTCTTAAATACGGTTGATTCCCACACTTGAGCCTAGGTGCACCAAAGTGTGAATGATGTGAGACCAAGGCAAGAACTCCAGCTCTGGAATCAAATCAGGAGAATGCCTTAATTGCAACTGTGATGCTAACGTCAAGAAGACAACTTGACAACTCACTTCTGGTGAAGTGACTTTCTGAAGACTTGAACCTCATGCAGTTCCTCCAGAAACAGGCACAGGTGGAGGGCCCAGGGTTAAAGAGCAGTAGCACGTGAGGATAGGGCCACGCGGCACCTCAGGGAATTGCTAATCCGTCATGTGATTTGGAGCCTCTCGCTTGGCTCTGCTTGCTCTGATGTTTGTGTGGTTTGTAAGGTCTGTGTAGTGTGAGAAGAGAGAAGCCAAATAGAAAATAAAGATGGTTCCTTGCCTCTCATGAGGTGCTTATCCCTTGTCCACAGGCACAGAGACACACTCTTTCAGCTTAATTTCAAGAAGGCTTATTTTGTCTCTGTATTAAATCCTCAAGAATCTCAGCTTAGGATCCCTAAACTGAAAGTGAAACTGTCATTGGTTAGATCTTTTAATCTTGAAAACAAGTTTGGGGGAAAAAAAGCCTTTCCCCGTCCCCTCCCCCGCCCCCACCATCACATAGTCACGGGGATGAGTTTATCGAAGGAAAGCCTTTTTTTTTGAAAAGGTGGAATATGTTTTGAAAATGTTGCAGACAAGGTCACAAGACATGAACCAAAACTTACGTATCAAAAGATGATATTCACTCTGTGTTCCTAGATTGGACCACTCAGAAATTTCCATCTCAAGAGTGGTTCATTTTCAATAAGGAGTTGGAAAAAGCTAATTATTCAGGTGAATGGGGGTTGTATTGTTTTTGCCATGTGAAAATAATGGATTCATTTTAAGGCTTCTTTCAT